TTTCAGTATTGTTAGAAAATAAACCCAGTTCTGTTAGGTTTGAGTGATCATGTTTCTCTTTAAAGAACAATTGACTAATTATTCAAGTGACAGTTCATAGGATTTGATGCAGAAAAAAAATCTAACACAGATTTGTTAAAGGTATTCAGCATTTTTTTTTTTTTCAGTTGGTATCAACTGTTTCTATTCTGACCTATAAATATATTCCAAAACACTGTCTAGAAATATGCATTTTAAACCATTTATCTTATACCAAGTTAACAGACACTTGCAATGTAATTGCACTTGAAGTAAGACTGACATTATAGAGCAGGGGCAGTAATGTCATTACTTCAAAGGGATGCAATGTACCTCTGAGACAAGGGATTTAATGTGTGTGGGAAATTAAGGTTTCATAAGAATCTTGTGGACTGTCACTGAAGTGTTTTATTCTTTACAACAGATCTTCATCTCAGCTATCATAAATTTGGGTTTAACAGACTGCAACATCCTTTTGACACAGAACTCTGTTATCAGGATTCTGGTGGCACTGTCCGAATGGCCCTTGTCTGATAACTGAAAATGTCTTCATTAAAAATGAATTAGTTGATGACTACTTGCCCTGAGATCAATACCATGTTCTTATTTCCAATGAGCCATTATATCATTAACGAGAAAAACTGTTGATTTCTGGTGAGATTACAGAAAGAAAGGCCTTTCTGACAGAGAGATTCCAAGAGATCCTAATTGATTTTCTTTGCAGTTGTATTGGTACTTGAGTAAAGGTAAAGACTTGTATAATCAAATTATTGGGTATGGCAGATTTCAAAAACAATATTACACAGAGGTTTGCTACTCAAAGCCAAACAAGCTGTGGGAATAAGGCTCACTCCGTGTATTGATCAGGTTGGTATAAAAAGAGCAGAAAATCTTATAATTAGTCAACTGCATCAATAATGCGGAAGGAATTAGTGACACCGTAATCAAATTGAGCTTTCTGCTCAAATATGTGGCATGTTCTTTATAAAGTGATGCGCCTCTGGCCATGGATATGGTGTAGGAAAAAGAATCGGCTGATCTTCTGATAAGCTAAACTGGAACTTAAGAAATGTTCTCTGGAAATGGCACGGCTATATATTGCCCCTGTGCAGCTTGATGTCTTTGAGTAGCACAAAAGATGCCCATTATCTATGAACGTTGTCTGGATGTGGGGAAAGTAACTGATATTTAATGCTTCAAAATGCTCTTTTTACATCTTTGTAAAATGTTACAAGCAGCTGAATACTTCTTCCCACAATCTATCTTTTCATAATTGAATGCTCAGATCAGACCAGGTTTATGCTGAATGTGATTGTCACATTCAGATGCTAGTAGCATTGAGTCGTGTGTAAATGATGCAAACGGTTTCATGCTACCTCAAAATGTGGCATGTCTCAAAATCCCACATTAACAGATACATGTATGGCATTTTCTTTATAAATGATGCTTTACATGGAAGATGCAAAATGATCAAGAACAGCCTAGTGGAAATCAAACATAGACCAACACACCAAACCATTTCAGTATAATATGCATTATAAAATTTTAAAAAGTATACTTCTCTTTGCACATGTTTATTGTTTCTAATCAGTGCATGTGTTAAACTATGAGGGAATAATTTCCACAAACTGTATGAAAATTCATCATATGCTTGGATGCAAATGTCAACTACATTTACTACATTGTATGCAAGGATCATCCAACATGCAAACATGCAAGTAAACCACAGTGTAATGTGTGGATTAACTTATCTAGCCTTTTGCATGGTACCTTTTTACTGATGGATTGGTGTTGCTTCATTACTAATAAATGATTTCTGATAAATAACATTGGTTCCCTTTGATTATAAGGCTATGGTAAAGATATATATATATATATATATAATTCTGTTTAATTTTAGACGAGTATTTGTGAAGGCACACATGGTTTTGTGTGTGCATGGTGACGAAAATTGGCAATGCCTCCTCTCTGTTGTGGAAAACCATAAGTACTATATAATAAACACAGTCTAGTAGATTGACAGAGACTCCGCATTATATGTACTGGCAGCATGCTCCATACCAGAAGTTGTATTAGATCAGTATTAGCATGTTGTTCTTTTGCAACTGTGTTTGTTACATATCTTAGTTGGTAATATCAGCTCCCTGTAAAGCACTTTCCATGCCGGTCTTCCAGTGCAAGCTATACATGACCAACACTTTGAATGATCTCAGAAAGCTGCCTGGTTTGTGAAGAAATGTGTTGTGTTTATGAGAAGATAGTCAAAAGATACTGGAGGATGTTGCACTGCCAGGATCTGATATAAAGTATCAGTATCCCCTCCACCTCCCAGGCATGCCAGATTTATATTGCTTGTCTATACCACACTTTCCTTTGGAAGAAATTCAAGATTGCATTTCATGCTGTATGCCATAGTCAACATTTATATCATTGTTTTATTGAATAAATTATGACATTGAAACAATAGGGGAACTTTTTTTATTCACTGGTGAGAAACGATTACTGTCCTGCTGGTATTTATTTCAGTGCAAAATGCTGACCTTATGTTTATTTATTATTTATCTCTTTCCATATTGATATATTGTTCATAACCCAGTTTTATAGCAGTCAGATAAAAAGACAATAGAAATAAAAGAGGGAAACTTCAGTGTCAGCAATATCTACTAAATCTGGAGTATTCTATTATATATCTAATTCCTATACTCTACTTATATATAAATGGAGGATTTTATGTGATAAACATGTTGGCAAAGATTAAACAAGGTCTAGAACATTGACTGTCATATGAAACTAAGCTGTACATTGTCTCTTCATAATGTTATCTTGGTCTATTGTGGAAACTTAAATGTTTTATATTCAGTTTTGTTGTACCTTGTAATGTGTAAAATTCAGTTCATTTTCCATATTTCTTTAAAGATGTGGTCATTGCCAAGGTGTATTTTTAAATGTGATAGCTCGAAAGGGCTATATGTGGCAATGCAGGGGATAAATGTATTGACTCATTGATTTCCCAGCTAGTGTCTGCAGTTAAACTAATTAGTCAAACAATGCAGGTTGACGTCCTAGCAAGGTGCTTCTACTGGTGTTTGTATTGGATACATTTGTGTGGATAATGGAGTTTCGCTGTCCATAACGGTAGTGTGATGGAAATTGAAAGGCTACGCATCATAGTAGCATATTGCTCACTTACATATTGCATCACATGAAGCGAAATGAATGGAGGATAGCTGGAAATTGCATTAATTTCACCCTGAAAGATGCTTTGATAAAATTGAATTGATTTTCCTTTTCTCCCACTTTTTTCTTTTTGGTTCAGGCTTGTTCAGATGGACTAGGCATGCTAGAAGCTCAAAATAACATGAAAGTATTGATTTTGAGGGGTTTGAAAGGCCTGTATCAGCCTAACGTAATATTCACTTTAAATCAGTTAGCACTGATGTTAAATGCCAAGCTGCTTTATCTTGATTATGAATTATCTAGAGTAAAGTAGAAATTCTATGTAATAAAAGCAAAAACAGTGTGTTTTTTTCTTTTTGACTATAAATTTTAGAAGCATGATGTGGATATACATTCTAAGATAGATGAGTACAAACTGATAATTATCATATGGAATTAAGAAAAAGGATTTCAACATCTCTAAAATACCACTGGATAGCAGTTAAGGTGACCATTTTTAGCCATTGCTTAATGAAGGGGGTTTAGGTTGCTATATGAGTTAGATTAACTGGACTCTGTGGTAGCTGAAATTTAAAACTTTGTGATGAATGTCTAGATGCTATCTCTTGTGAACTGAAGATGAAGAAGATTGGGACTTCTATTCACTTTAGGTCTGCAAAGTCAAAGGGATAACAACTGTTTGTATGAGGTTTATATTTCATCATAAATACATTGTAAACAACTCATAGAAATTTAATAAATTCCATTTTACCACCAAAACAGCAAATATCTCAATCATTCTGCCATCACACCCCTTGGACCTTCATAGATGGCTAAACCCCTGTAATAATCTCTTAAGACTTAAAAGATTATTACAATAATTCAAACTTCTTGAAATAAAAACCAGGGACTGACATTGATTGTTGGAATGGATTTATTAAACATTGGAGTAAGTATGGGAAAATCACCGTTTACCCCAGGAAAATTAATTTTTGACAAAAGCAAACAGTTGTTATCCCTTTAAGGAAACGCATGAGCAGCTTGAGAAGTTTTCCGAATCAATATATATAGCATTTAGTAATACAAGTCAGTATGGTTCTGAGGTACTGTGTACTTTCTGGTATCATGAAAAGATGTTTTTATGAAAGCATACAAAAAAGGAAAAATAACTTTGAACTTAAGGGAATGTGCAATGTTTGTTATTGCACATGAAATGAGCTATGACGTCTGCTATTGTTGAAATTTATCCTTACATGTTATTCAATGTTGCCAGGCAGTTCAAACCCACGTCTGTTGCAATATAGCAGAAGCTGTCTAAAACAGCCTTGCAAAAAAAATCATTTTGCACAAATTTATATGAAAAGATCTTAAATTTTCTTCAGAGAGAAAGATTTTTCTTTAAGATATTTTTTAAGTGAACAAATAATTGTAAAAATCAGCTTTTGACTTACACCACACTCGTTTGGCTGATTCCACAATTTTTTTATAAGAGAATTAAAACATGCATAACTTATTTAGAAGAAATGAAAAAGTAAGTTATTCAATCATAATCAAAAATAACAAACAGATTAGAAGCACTTATTTCAATTTTCCTACCTCTGCATGTTGGCAATTAAAATTTGACTTTCCAAGGTGGTAATTTCAGGCTGTTTGATTGTTATCAGCAATTAGCATCAGAAATGGGTTATATTTGAAAATAAAGTTTTTTATAAATATTTTAATCTAAGTTTTCTTTTTTGTTTTTGTATGTAGTATCATTCATTTTCTTCCATGTTTTGATTTGTTTCAGTCCGTTTACATGATAGTATCCAGGATGAAGGATTCCATTACCTTGTATTTGACCTGTAAGTATGTTTCTAATATCTATGCATCTGATACTGCACACGTAACTACATCTGTTTGTTTCTAAAGGCTGCAAATTATGATATCTAGGTTTAATATAGGTCCAGATAAATGTGATAGGTATTTTTTCACCTGTTAAGTGCAGTTATGCTTTATTTGTGTTCATTGATTCAGATGTGTTTTTGATCCTTACATTTAGTAAGTGAAGAGTCTTTATCAAAAGAAATGGCAATTCCATCCTTTTGAAGCCTGTTTACAACTAGTTTTTGAAAAAAAAAAAAAAACAATGTATCAGAGGTATGAGAGAGATGTTTATTACTAGGATAGTGCTGTGGCTGTGTAAGTAATAACGCCTTTCCTTATTACACACACACGCACACACACACACACACACATGCTCTTCTTTTAGTTGGTCCATATTCTCACAAAGTTTTCTTCTGTTGTAGGGTCACTGGTGGTGAACTCTTTGAAGATATAGTAGCCAGAGAATTTTACAGTGAAGCAGATGCAAGGTAAGAGCAGTGTGCAAGGAGGAGGAGGGGGGGGGGTATATATCATATCAGCTGTGGCTGTCAGGTTTGACTGCCAGGTGGTTGCAGCAAGATAAATGTGGTTTTGAAACCACAGTAATGCTCCTTACTGTATGATATATTTTTATACATGCATAAAGGTATGTTCAAGGCATTAGCAAGGTAGAATTCAATGTCCATGATAACAGGTTATGCATTACAAATAGAAAGTGAATGAAACTCATAAAGTTGTCATCACCACAGAATCATTGCACTGCTAAATTTAAACACAAAAGTTTTAATTAAATGTAAAACATTGAAAAATTATAATTTAACAAGCTGTGCATAAAAAGATTCAAAGCATCTAAATCTCATCAGTGTTGTTAAGAATGTTTATATAGCAAAATGGTTCTGGTCATTTGATATGTTGACCTTTATTTTTGAACCTGTATTGAATTTTAGTAATAAAAAAAGGATTCTGTATACATGTAAAAATTTATTAGTTCATAAAAATGTTTATATTGATGTGCATGTTGTTTTGGGAAACTAATTAATATCTTGTGAATAAGAACATTTTTTACCATATTTATATTTTTTGGAAAAATTAGATTCTAAAAGTGTTCACTGCACTCTTTGGACTAACTCACTGATCTTCAGTGTTATAATGATGTATATTTATCACTTGTCATTGTTCTTCCATCTTTCATACTAATAAGTTCGCTAACCATTTTTTAAAAAGTGTGTGTGTGTGTGTGTGTGTGTGTGTGTGTGTGTGTGTGTGTGTGTGTGTGTGTAAAACTGCATTTCAAGGCTGAAAATAGTATCGTGTTTATCTGATTTTTAATTAGAGGCTTTAACAAACATTGATTAATTCAACAAGAATGTACAAGCAGCTGTATATCAATTATATGTATGTTTTGAGACAGTATTACATCATCTGTTCAAGCTGTACTCCTGCCTTAAAAGTATATCTTGGTGCTATTACACACCTGGCATATGTAGGTCATGTAGCAAGAAAACACATGTACTTTCTTTTTTATCATGCAGGTGTCTACTAAAGTGTAGAGGTGTAAATATAACAAACTTTCATGAATAATTAGAATTGGGTAATGTTTGATTTTTGTCAATTAATTATACCCCCCCCCCCCCCCATTTTTTCATGATTTTGCTACAAGGATAATATAAATTATTCAACACAACAGCTTTAAATGAAAGACTTTTAATAATGGTTTTATCAAAACTATCCATACTATTACTTAAAGGGATAATAACTCTTTGTTTCGGCCAAAAAATGAATTTTCCTGGAGTAAATCACAATTTTCCCATACTTACCAATGGTTAATGAATCCATTTTTGCATGCAAAGTTAGTCCCTGGTTTTTTTCTAAAAAGTTTGGTTTTTTGTTTAAATCTCTTGAGAGATTTTAACAGAGTATAGCCATCAGTGGAGGTCACGTGGTCTAAGGACAAGCTCAGATATAAAAAAAAAATAGCTCTAACTGCCGTTTTTGTGGTAAAACAGAATATATTATATTTCTATGAGTTATTCACAATGTTTTTATTGTGAAATATAGATCTCATACGAAGAGTTATTATCCCTTTAATGACAGGCTTCCTAATGGGATAAAACTGAGACTGTTGTCATATATACAGATTCTGCAAAATGCGTAATGCATGGTAATGCAACTACAGGGTATGAGAGAAGGCATTGTTTTCGATACCTTCACGTAGTTCCAACATGTATCAAACAATTGAAAGTATCAAGTATTGGATAAATTACAGAAATATTGGATGTTTGTATGATAAATTACATATTTGTTGTTTACATCTCAATTGATTGACATTAATGCATTAATGTTTTTTAATGCATTAATGTTTGAAGAATGATTTTGTATGGTGCATGTGGGGAGATGACCTGGTTCTATCCTTTAATCTATTTATTTTGCATGGAGTCTATTAACAAAATGTTTTGAATATTTTAATCAATTTTAACCCATTGTTTATTTCACTTTGTTTAAATATAAAGACCTAAAAGAATTATATCTAATCCAAATCACTGCTAAATATTATTGTGTATGGTTGCGTTTGATTATCTTTATTTTTAGGCATATTAAGATGTAATTGTATGTATATGTGGGAATGGCAAATCTTCCAAAAGTTTTGTACTTGTGTATTGCTAGTTCAAATTATTCACTATGGCTTGATAAGTGTACTCTTGATGTATAGGTGTCTTGCATCTCAGCTAAAAACAAATCAGCATTCACATCAGTGGACTAACTAGCCAGTGGATCAGATATGGTGACCCACTTAAAAACTTGCCATCTAATCCTCTAATAGACACTGAGCAGATTCCATGCGGGGATTATGCAACAAGCATTCAAGGGGGTCAGTCATATTTGATCCAAGGACTAGTTAGTGTCTGCTGTTGTGAAGGCGGCCATAGAAAACCTCATACAAAAGTACCACTTTTCTAGTTTAAGTTAAGATGTCAGCATATCAGGCCATGGAAGTCATATGAAATGTTGAAAAATAATAAAGCTAGCTCAAAGTGGTCATAAAATATTTTGACCAGATTTGCCATACCTATAGTGACATCAGTTTTCTTAAAATAGTGAAAAATACATTTTTGACCTTGAGCTCCTATGGCTTGAATAGAAAGTTAGAAAAAGCAAGGAAGTTTGCTTTAGGGCAGACCATGACAAATAATAGATTTAAATTTTTATTATGTCCTGTTTGTGGAAAATGACATGTTACTTTTTTGTTAGAGATGCATTGGTTTTAAATTGAAAACTAAAAAATGCCAATGGTAACCAATACTGTTTAGTGCTCTTTATACCCTGAATAATAATAATAATAATAATACTAAATATAATTGACATGCTTGTTGATTAGAAGATTATTTAAAGATCCCTATTTTCAGTTGCTTCCTTTGCTTAATAACAAGAGTTTGTGAACTTATTTTGAGATTTTCCAAAAGTGAAATATTAAAACTTATTCAATCTAGATGACTTTTTTATGTTAGGAAAAATCTGCAAATGATATTAATTTTACAAAAAAGAAACTGGAGATGCAGTTGATGTTAAAATACCAGAATAATTATATCCATCATATAGCATGCCTCCCATCCCACTTTCTAAATGCATGAACTTTAATGTGGTCATAAAAATTTAAACTTCAACAATAAAACCAACCATTACTGTTCAGTTATCCAGCCATGTGCATGCTGTGAATGAAAACCAAAAGGATCCCAGAACCAAGGGTACTATCTTTGTGTCACCTATGAGTGTTATGATTACATTTTTGCTGTTTCAGTCACTGCATACAACAGATATTGGAAGGTGTGAACCATTGTCACCAAAATAATATTATTCATCGTGACCTGAAGGTGGGTAGAGGAGATTTAATGAACTGATGTGGCTGGTGGTGCTTCCTCGCAGAAAACGTAGCATCTGTTTCAATTTAGAGGGCCAGAGCTAGCTTGGTCAACTTATCTTTTATCTAGTAAAATAAGTCGTCACTCAAAAGCAGCAGAACTGAAATCCATATCTGCTTGGTTGCTCAATTGGACTTTATTGGGTAATCAGAGAAAAAAATCTCTGGGAAGACATTTCCGAGTTGAACTGTTAATGGGTTTTCAGAATCCTGTATTAAAAACCCAAGCATGCTCTGTGACCCTTTGTCACTGATCAAAGCCACTGAAATTGTCAATCAGTCAAGGGAGTTGTCAGTGGTGGAGATCAAGTGTCTTGAAGCTGCATTTTCTCCCACCAGACCCATGTATGATGGACTGTGGCTTGTTTTCCTCCTTCAGGCTACTCCATAGTGCATGTTGTCCACTAACCTCCACCTACCCTGATCATATGAATGTTGTGGATGACCAACCAGTGTTCCAGGTCTCCCTTCTGCTGCACGCAGATCATTGTCATGTCTCAATGGTTTATTCATGTGAATGACCTTTTCTCACATTTCAGTCACTGCATGCAGCAAATCTTAGAGAGCGTCAGTTATTGCCATCAACACAGTGTGGTCCACAGAGACCTCAAGGTATGTGGCCTGCTGCTGCTATCCATGGTGAACACACACTTTGACATGATAATATTATTAATAAAGAGATTGCTAGTCCAATCAATTTAATTTCAACTTCAAAGGCAATCCCAGTTTGCTAGAGGGACTGTGAGTTTATTTGTGTTTTTAAAACTGCTGGGAAATTGTCCTGATGTTTTATGAAAAATTGAATAAATTTCTGGACATTCTGAACCAATTTCCTGGTGAAGGAAATCCACAGAGTTTATTGCTGTTAATTTTTTATGAAGCAGAAAGAGCAATTACTGACAAATAAAGGTATACATTAAATAATACCTCTCTGAACTTATGATACCATCTCATCAATATTGAAACTCTGTTGTTATTGTAATATAAATGGTTGAACACACTGGACAACATTTGATGGTGGCTATAAGTGAAATGACAGTTAACTGCATTCTGACTGTTGTTGAGGAAGTATCAGCTGTAACCAAGTAGATAGCCGTATCAGTGGGTTCATTCCACTAATCAATTAACCGAACTATATATGTTGTGCTTCATCTAAAAAGTGCTTATTCTCAGTAACTTACATTTGTCAGTTGGAATTATTTGAAAATAATCCCAAAAATTTAGGTTTCAAACTTTACAGGATATAGATAGTATACTATGTATACATATTAATGACTGAGAGATTTGTGCTCTGTTGTGTTCTTGGTTGTTTACAAGTAATTTGCTTGTTTGATTAATCGAAGTATGAATACCAGCAAATATTAACATACAAAAAAAAAAAAAAGATTTATTTTAGATGAATTTAAAAAATCAGATTTGGAAAATGGCAGTCTGAAACAGACAAATTTATTTTAATCATTTTTGTTTTCAATAGAGCATTGGTAACACCTTTTTAAAAACATAAGGGAAAAGTATTCTCTCAATTATGTGGATGGAAAGTAGAGCTTCTCTCCAGGGTTGATCATGTCTGAACATATGTACCATAACGTCTGCTCTTAACATCCATTTAAAGCAAACTGGGTTCATAATTGTGTCGGTTCTCTCCCTTGGGTTTGCATCATGTCTGCAATATTCTCTTAAACTGCACAGAAAACCCATGGAGAACTATCAGGTTGTCATTAATATATGATCTACATGCATAATTAGGGGTCCTAAAAGAAATGCAAAAAATGTTTGTTGTTCTTTTTTATAGAGTATCTGCCAATGCCTAGTTGGACCAGCAGCAGATTTATCTTTTTCCTCAGAATATTGTCTTGTATTTATTCGTTATTTATATTTTCTATCAAAATCTCTCATAATATTTGGGACTATTTTTCTTCACAAAAAACCCAAAGAGAATTAGTTACCCACCCTTTGATATATAGAAAATGATGTGCCAATTGAACTGTTTTTATTTTTATTTTTTCCAAAGGTTTAGCAAAAAAACTTATCCCTTAAAATGCACACTGATGAAAGCACTGTGGAAACTTTCCATTTAATGTTATATTGCACATCTAGTCTAATTGTGTTAATTGTTGTGTTGAACGTTTGTCAGCTTTTATGTCTTGTTTTATTGTTTGATATTGTCAAGGTGAACTCACCTAAACCAGTTCAGTCTAAAACAGTTTGTATGACAAATCTGTAATATCTTTTGTTAATTGTTTTTATTATTATTATTATTGTATGTGTGACCTTGAGTAGATAAAACTGCTAAGTTCAAATTCTTGTACAATTACGAAAACTCCCAGTCGTTTTATATAAATTTACTTTTCAAATCCTGTTGAGATATCTTGCAAGAGATATTGATATTATGCTTGCACTTTTGCACAAACTGCCATTTTCCATATTTGATAATGCACATAAATCTTAAACATCTAATAGATATGCTGATGTATTACATGGTGGTAATAGCTATTGTATTCATATTTGAAATGCACCTTTAATATTTGACACATTTTGCAACCATTATGCTAATAATTTTTGTGCTTCAGCCTGAAAATTTACTCCTTGCAAGTAAGGCCAAAGGGGCAGCAGTTAAGTTAGCAGATTTTGGACTAGCAATTGAAGTTCAGGGAGAACAGCAGGCATGGTATGGTAAGTGACAGCATCCATAAGCAGCACTCAAATTATCCATAAAAAAGAATATTATATACAAAGATGACTTAATCCTTAGTTAGTAAGATGTAGTGACTGGATTGGACAGTTGCAATTTTTTTAAAAATTGGTTGTGATGTCTAAAAATGATTCATACCATTGTGAAGGAAATGAAATTTATTTCATTGTTTGTCCCTACAATTGTGGCTTTATCATAACCAGTGACCCTAGATTTCACCTGTGGCAAATATCTGCTGTTTATCATATTCCTATACACAGATGTTTGATAGTTTATGTAACATGATAATTAAATGAATGAATAATGACAGTTTACAAAAATTCAATCTGACATCCCAAGTCATAGTCAATCCACAAAATGCGAGCCCTTCTTGGTAAATAGGATGAGTCAAATATAATGATGTATTACACCCACCTTAAAAGTGTTTTATCCATAGTGGTTAATTGACTCATGAGTTACCTCAGGCTAATCATTCAAACTGCGCAAAATTATCTGTGAATCATTTTCAAACACCAAATATCATCTGATGTTCCATTTCTGTGAGATATTGTATCAACCAAAGTCGGATAAATTTTATTTTTAATCATTAAAAACATCTTTTGTGTTAATATTTCATTTTTAAAGAATTGACCATATATTTGTTCTGTAGTTTTTGCTATCAAATATTCAGAGTACACCAAGTTAGCAAAGCATAATTATTATAAGAACTAAAACTGAGTTAAAATTTCTGCCAACAATTTAACCTCATTCAGTTTTTTTCACAATTTTGGGATATATCCCACTGTTTAGTAAGGGGCATTGTATTGAATACTATTTTATTTTCTTTGCAGGTTTTGCTGGTACCCCGGGATATTTATCACCGGAAGTTCTAAGAAAAGATCCGTATGGAAAACCAGTAGACATATGGGCATGTGGTAGGTGGCTGTGAGAGGTGTTTGAATTAAGCTATAGGTCTTTTTAGTTAAACATGTATATTCATTCTTCATATAGATGTAGCCATGGTTTGAATTTTTAGAAACTTTAATTCTGCATAATATTTAGAATTAAATAGCAGTGGCTGAGAACAACTTGGGCTGGAATCAACATTTTGATGTAATTCGCTTGTAATATTTTATACATGTTGAACAGACTCTTTCAGTCCGTAAAATTTCCTAAGAACTGGTTATTTAGAAGAAACAGCATGGAATACTGCCTCTTTACATGATGTAAACGCTTTTGTCATTATAATCATCCGTAATATTTTTTTTCTCTTCTTTTTTCATTGCAGGTGTGATATTATATGTTTTGTTAGTGGGTTACCCCCCATTTTGGGACGAAGACCAACACAGATTATATGCACAAATTAAAGCAGGGGCATACGATGTGAGTTTCTGAGTTAGTGTTTGTTTCTTCTTCTGTCTAATCTGTGCTTGGATTTTCTTTTCAGGTGTGATATTATACATTTTGTTAGTGGGTTACCCCCCATTTTGGGACGAAGACCAACACAGGTTATATGCACAAATTAAAGCAGGGGCATATGATGTGAGTGGTCGTTTCTTCTTTCTTGAAACACCATTAGCATAATATATCCTACAATTTCCTAAGTTGTAGTCTATCCTTAATTATGTAGTATTTTACTTCTGAGTGTGAGTTTATTTTTATTTGCCAGACTGGCATGGTTTCTTTTATTTATTATTATCATTATTATTTCATTTTTGTTCTTGAGTTATGTTTTTAAGCAGATGTTTTTAGTTCAGATTGTGAGAATGAACTCCAAGTATTTTTGTACTATTTTTTGCCATGTTGAATCTTTTGACAGTACCCTTCACCAGAGTGGGACACAGTGACACCCGAGGCTAAGAATCTCATCAACAGCATGCTGACAGTCAACCCTGCAAAGCGTATCACAGCAGGGGATGCACTGAAGCATCCATGGATTTGTGTATGTATAAGGGACTGGTCATTGTGGGTTCATTTTCTTTTACAAAGCAGAATATTTTATGATATGAGAGAATATGATAGAGTTGCCAAATATGCATATGCTGTGAAACACTTTCTATCTCTTGATAGCATTTCTCCTACAAAGAGGTATATTGATTTCGCTAAAACAGTTTTTTGTGTTAGGTGTTTTAGCAGCATAAAAGCTTATGAGTGAAAATAATTTATTGATTTGATTTGATGGTAGTGGTACATATTTTGAACGACTTATTCTGAAGAAGGCTCTAACAAGAAAATTAGCATTACGTACAAATGACAATTTTGAAAGCAGAGATGAAGCTTATGCTTTGTTGTGCTTTTTTCCAGCAAAGAGAGCGTGTTGCTTCTGTTGTTCATAGACAAGAAACAGTGGATTGTCTCAAGAAATTCAATGCAAGGCGCAAACTTAAGGTAAGATTACCGTAAGAACAAATGCATGCTGTGTAATTCAAAAGCATATTTCTCTAACATGTATGTTGTTCATCGTTAAACACTCAATTAAAACATTGGCATTGAAAAATCTTCTTTTCAGTACAAATAATTTTTTAACAATATTATTTTTATCAATAGGGTGCAATTCTTACTACCATGTTGGCTACTCGCAACTTTTCAAGTAAGTTATAATTTCATTATATTTTCTATAAAAGTGTGAATGGGAAGTTAATGTACATGATTTGAGTGTTGTTTTGCAAGGGAACACACATTTCAACATGTTCTTATATCCACTGGTTATCTTTTTGGCTCATATATCATAGTATGCCACTGCTGTTAGAGAGGACATACGACATAAAAAGTCAGAAGTTCTCAGACATTTTTTAAGCAAGTATACCGTTGACACAGCCTGTGACCTATTCCAGTATCAAATACATAAAATTGCCTTAAATTATTTCATTTAGGGAGTGTATCATCCACATTTTAAGTTCAAGTCAAATCACATAAGTGCAACTGGAACTCAAAATGACAGTGAATTTTAAAATCATGTTCTGTTTAATGAATTGTACAGTTGAGATTAAAGCTGGTTCAACTTTTGGCTGGAATAGCCACTTTTGACATGGAATGTCCAACAAGAGATTAATCTAGAAGTTCATCTAGTCTGACCTTGTTTGTCCTGTCAGTAATCTTGATTTGCCTAAGGAATAACTATTAATCACTCTAGTGGTTGTAGCCAAATTAGTATTGTAGAAAGCGCATGGCATTTTACTCGAAATGATATATGACCACTGTATATGTATGTCTGTGTACTTCTTTTGAATTGGTAATATAATGTACTATGAACAAATGTGATAATGTCTGTCTCATCTGTGAAAATACCCTTTATGTATTTGTTGAATTTTATAGTAGTATTATTGTTGGCCAATTGAAAAACTGTGATGATGGAATAATGAGTAATCCTTCATTTGGTTGAACATGAAGTATGAATAGCTGGATTTGTGTGTTTAAGTGTTATATAAAGCTGAATGTTTGACAGAGGCCCAGGAATTTCTGTGACATGCAATAGTATTTACCCCTTTTTACACGTATATTTTTTTTCATCAAACAAATCATTGAACATAAAAAAAGTAGAAAATTAAGCAAAATTGCATCACATTTCACAAAATACAATCTCTTATGTGAACGTTCATAGATATGAAAAAAGAAATTTTAAGATTTTTGGCAATATGTCATTGGTAAATGCCAATGTACCTGCATTTTCTGTCAATTTATATCCAACGTGCGTTGATAAATTTCATAATGTGTCATAAACATCCCTTTTCTTAGTCTTTCTCTCTCTTTCTCTTTCTCTCTCTCTCTCTCTCTCTCTCTTTGATTGACAACCATTAGTATAACCATTTCTCAAGTGGATTCCACATATTCAATTTTAGTGTCTTTCTATGTTGAAAAAATAGATCTGTTGCTTTTTAAGTACTCTCAGAAGTGATGCGATTCTGTTTGGTTAAATTGAAATGGCAATTACAGCAAAATACAATCAAATATGAAGATGAAACCATGGTTATGATAACCATAAATATCCCTGTAGAATTTTTGTTCCTTTGGGCATAAATGCAGATTATAAAAACAACTTTGCCTTTTACTCAGAAACAACTGTCATGTTTGGTTGTCAAACAATGGCACGATATAATATTTTACACACTCATGTTGTAATTAAAGTTACATTCATACACTGTGAACTTATGTTTTTGTTCAATCTTTTCCAGTTAGACACATTTACCTTACTGCTTCTGTATTGATATTAAACAGAATAGAAACTACAAGCATTGTCATCTTATAGTACTGCTTCTTAGTGTAAAGTACACACTTTCCACGCAGCTTTAAAGTGCCCTTTATTTTAAATGATAAGTAATTAGCATTATTCCCCAGTCAGGTGTGTGAGATTGTGTGAGAAAGATATGCTTTCAGCTGTAGGGGTATGTTCTCACATTGAACTTAAAATGGTTTTGATATGTTCTGTTCCTTTCCCCTTCACCCTCAGTTGATATCATTTTACTATTAGCAGCAGACAGTAAACTATTTATGGACAGACACTGTGTCTGAGCATTTAACTGTTGCTGTGCTCTTTCCTTATTATATGATTAAGGATAATTTTTTTCTTTGAAAATCCACATGATGCAGTGATTGCGTCATTACTATTTTGACAGATGATTTTAGGAACAAAACACCTCAGAACTGTTCTGTATTTTGTGCGCACACGCACATTGGGTATGCTCAGGGATAACAGTATAGCACAGACAGCATGCCCACATTTCATGTAATCTTAATGTGTTTTGTGTTTATTTGATGTTCTGTAGTAAGCAAAGGTGACAGAAGTAAGTGCTCTTGTTGCTAGATCTGCTCTCTTGATTGCATTATAGAATTTATGACAAACAACAACAAGTCATTTTCATATCTGTTGCATTTTGATTTTTTAAAAGAAGTTTTAAAGAAATGGTATACTAAATAACAGAAAGATTAACATATCAGTTGCTTCTCTTTCTGTTTTTTGTTATAGATGAACATAACATTAAAGATTTATATCATATTACAAAAATTATAAAAAAGACTAAGGGGGTATATCTGTCTTTTAACCGGATTCGGTCATATAATAGCACATAAAAAAGGGAAATGATTCATTGATGTCTGAAAATGGCTTGTAGTATAATCATGGATTAGTTACTTTTTGTTTCGCACTTTGTTACATGTATGTTGCTTCCTTTCAGAAGAATAGGTTGAAATGTATAATTCATGTAATATGTTGTCAGTAATGGGTTGGCTCCATTTGTTTGACTAGTCTAGCCAAATGTCATTGCGGTGATTCTTTGTATATAATTCAGACTTTGCTATTGGTATTTTGTTTGTACTAATAACAGCTCTTCTAGAACTGGCTGTCCAGTAGAATATGAACATTTTTAGCTTGCTGATATTCTTTTCAGTGTGCAGTTATATTAAACATCATGATTCCTTCTGTATTTCTAAGTGGTTTTTACAGATCTGGTGTCTAGTCGTTTGAAGATGTCTGAATCCCCATTATCTTCCCAATTTTAAAAAAAAATGTTTATTTTTGCACAAATTTCCTGGATCCAAACGTCTTCAGATGTGCACTGGTAGCATTGCAGCATATAATGCTAAGCTGAGCTATGGCAATTTGCTGTGAGAGAAAGTCAAATTGATATTAATTTGTTGGTAAAATTAAAAGTTTTATGTATGCATAGCTATATGTTATGTTGGTTAGACATCATTCACTACTCTAGCTGCCCTGTTGTTTGATGTATTTATTATAGTTATGAAAATAATTGACATTTGGAACACTTTCATTTCATTGTTATAGTTGGAATATTATATGAATATCCTTGCTCATAATTTAAAATTAACTTTTTCTATTTATATTATATTTGTAGTTCTGATTAATATGCAGTAACAGCCATTATTCAAAAGAGTATTTTTAAAACCAAACTGAATCTTTAGCTTTTGTGGTTTTACATGTTTTTCCTGTTTATCATGATGGTATAAATGCAATGTCAATATTTACTATAACATTGAGCAAGGTTATTCATCAACTGTGTTCACACATACAAAAACCAGTATGTTTCATTCTATATTCACACTGTCACTTATAACCTTGTATGTGTGAAGACAGTTATAATCAGTGCACAGTGTTTTGCACTCTACAATTGTGTTTCTATCTACCCTGTACTGCATTGATTTAATATTCAGTGCTTGTATGTTTGATATGAGCAGGTAATGTTGTCGCTGGTGCCAATGGATCTCAAGGATCCAACCCGGGCTCAGGTATGTCATCATGAATGAGTGTGACACAGCCATTTTAGAGCAAGGGCCAGGGGGCTTTATATATTATTTTCCACCCTCTCATAAAGTTTGTCATTTACAAAGAAATGAGAATAGAATTGGAAAATGAATCTCATCTTTGTGATTCAGTCAGTCCCTGCATTGCCCTCTACACTTCTGTCCACTATTTGTGTCATATGTCAGATTGGTCCATAGATACATTGTGTTGTCCTGTGCTTTTACTGTACATTCACAGAGTTGTAGTTTACCTTTGATATGCATTCCATTCTCTTTTCATACCTGTGAATATGTAAAATATTATATAGAAATGGACCAAATGTGTGGTCTTGTGTTATTCTTTGCCCTTACACCTTTTACCTGTTCCCCTTTTTCATAAACTTCCTAATGTAAAAGTGAATTCACCTTTTGGTTTTAGTATTCAAGTGATGTTGTGATTGATGAGATTTTGTGAATGTACATTTTTTAAGCCAGGTATTGCCATACCACTCCACGAACTGTTTAAATGACCTATCAATTGTTTTTAGACACATCTCTCTTCTCAGTTACAAAAATAATTGTAAATAATCAGCACTTTTTAAGAAAAAAAGACGAATTTGTGCTGACATCACTATGATACGAAAGGCACATTTTCCAATAGAACTCCTGGCTTTGTTGTGGTTGTGCATACATTCTTTTTCTGGAAACCACAGGAAATTGCGAAAGTGGTGATGCTTTCTTTGCAAATGCCATGCCTTTACTTTTATGATGGGGTCTATAATGCACTGAAGTGTTTATCAGTCTCAAAGTAGAATGGAAGTGGTAGTTGGATAGTGACAATTGGATTTTTTTTTCACCCTTTTATTGACATTCTAGACATACTTTTTGTCTATTTTTGTCCATACTTGGCATTTTTTTAGTTTGTGTGTTTTCTTCAATTTATGGGAGATTTTTATTGTAAGGAGATGAAGGAAGCTTAAAGAATGTCTTATTATGCATGTCAAGCTTAAATATATATATTGACAGTAAACTGCAATATTTTGAATTAGCGCATAGCTGTTTGAAAATCAGTTTATTTAAAAGCTTGTTTTAAAAAGCATGCAATTGATTTATATACATTATTATTGTTTCTCAATAACTTTTTTGCTGCTTGAATAATTCTATTGGTTGCTTTTCTTAAATGCCTTAGTGTTGATTCTTATTTTGAATTATTTATTGATATCTTTTAAATCTGAATATATGTTCTAAATGTGTTGTTTCAATATTATATGTCATTTATGTACAGTCAGTAAGCCCATACCTGCAACCACATCTTTCCTGCTGCATATCAGTTCAGTCCAACAGATAAATAGCTGTTTTTTTAATAACATTCATATAATTTCAACAACAAATATGAAGTTCATTCTTCAGTGAAGTGCTTTCACATGGTTACTCAGAAAGATAGATAAAGGATTTGTTGTACGGATGTCAGAATGTGAATTCAAACCATGGCAGCTTACCTAACTATTCACTAATTTCCCAATTATCTTTACTAACTATATATATATGAGAGTTACCAGCTACTTTTGAAAATTATTTTTAATATCATTGCACATCAACCTTCAATTACTATCTGGACTGAGTTAATTTTTTTTGTATCTTGACTGAGGGAAAATCAACGTTAGACCAATTCTTTATGAAAAATAAGCAATGGGTTATCTTTTAGATCAATAATTTTTTATCAGTGTACTGCAGGTTTATCCAGAGTTTTCCCAAATCTGAAAGTTGAGACCAACCAAGACTTGACTTCTGTAAAACCAGACCCCAATGGCATGACTGTACATAAGATGGTTTTTGCTATCCCCTTTACATATTTTATGACGAAAAGATACAGTTTAGTTGGTTTATTTTTTTCACATGGTCCATGTCTGTTTACTTTCACAGCCAAATGTGTTGAGAATGAAACAGACTTACTTTTGTTCCATAAATCAGGATTATGCAACATTTCTTATTTCAGAGTTGTCTTTTATTTTATTTTATCAACAAAATTAGAAATAGTACCTGCTTAGTGCTTTAGACTTGAAAAAAAAAAAAAGGTGCTATCCTTTCCTTTTGTTTTTGGTAAAAAAAGTTTCTTATGCTTGGGTGCTTGTGTGAAAATGTATAACATACTGTAAACTTTCTGTTAATTCATTTGTTCTTTAATTTTGAATTATGTTTGCTCCTTTGGTGAGTCATTTATATATTTTCCTGTCTTGTTTTAGAGGATATTTTCCTCCTGTGGTACGCTTTTGACAAACAAAGATGTTGCTGTTACTAACATGCTTCTCTAGCTCAGGTCTAAACAAGCAGCTTTTCTTTCAACTCTTTTTCCAGTGTCCATGAACAATACTATTGCAAAACAGGTCACAGCAATCCAAGTCTCTAGTAAGTGAGCCAGTTTCCCATACCGCTCTGCTTATGCCTGCATTTTTCTGATGCCTTGTTGTCACAAGTACTTGAATAATCCTGACTGGAAAAAAATGTTGAAAAGGGGATGTTTATCTTGTCTAAAAACTAAACACGCATGTTGAAGCAGCATGCATATGTTTGCATGTACTTTGCCAATGGATGATCAGACGAATTAATGTGTATAAAATTATAGGTCCTTTTTTTCTCTCAGCTTATACAAGAAGCATTCAATAGTTTTGTCTGAAAGACCTGACTGAGTGAATAGAATGAGTGATGCTGAAAGAAGTGAATAGATATGTTGTCACAGATAAAGTGGTATTTTGTATCGGCTGTATTTGAGGATATGCCTGAGGTTTGAATTTGTTGCAAGAAAAATGCAGTACAACTTTGATACTATATATTGAATTGTAGTTTGCATCATGAAAGAATGATGTTAAATAATTTAGTTCTAGCTGGTTACACAATTCTGTTGAAATGAATTGTTCATCAAAATTGTATATATTTTTTTACTTTTTAAATAAGGCATTTTTAAATGAAAGACTTGGTCACTTTTAATCAAAGAGAGACAATTTTTAAAAGAAGATATAAATTAATCAGACTGCATAGAAAGGTCCACAGTTCCATGTTCCATGTTCCAGTCAATAGGCAAGGTTAATTTTAAACAAAGGAAAAGAACATACAAATCTTTCAAAAAGAAGGCTGAATGAAGCATTTCAACAGCATTTGAAATTTTGAACTGTGTTATTAAGCAAACACCAATGCATACGTAGATCACACTAGTGAACTAATATAGACATGATTGGTTCAATATTATTCTGACACTACATGGCAGCAAGGCAAGGTTGTGCAGTCAATTAAGTTATTATTCTATGTTGTATTACACTGATGGTGTGGTGCAAACCAATCCATTGTAGGTTTGTGCATGTGCAGTTTTGTGTTGTCCTTGTGTTGTTTTGATTAGATGTGCATTTGTTAAGTTTTTTATGTCATTGGTAAGTCAGACAGTTGCGAAATAGTGTGTGATATATTTTAGATTAGAAGGTTATGATTAAGATCTTCTTGGGATAAGTTCATACCACACGCAAGCACCTGATTTCACATCACACATTCTCCCCTGAAGATTGCATTCAAGACTTTCACCACTGCTCCACGACATCTATTGTTACTGTTATTGTCACTGTCAACCAGTGTATGCAGAAATGCATGCGTTTCATTTTAGTCCAGCATTGTTCAACCAGGTGTTGTATTATATATAGGTATATATATCATATTATATTATATTACATCACAGGTGGAGTATATCACAGCCCTACACCCCCTCCCCCACCCCCTCCAGTTTCAGTCATTGCATGTCACTTATTGGGTAAATTGTGTTAGCTGTGATAAAGTAACAAATGTTATGTGGGATTACTTTCAGGTAGGAGTCTAATTAACAAGAAAAACGATGGCATTAAAGAGTCCACGGACAGCAGCACTACTGTAGAAGATGAGGATAGCAAAGGTGAATATAAAATATTCTAATTTTGAATACAGGGTGATTTTCTGTTCATTGGTTGTATTGAGTTGATTTCTGCACACAGGAAGAAGATATGATTGAAAGGGGTAATTTTGTATTCTTTTATTTTGGGTCATGCCAACAAATCCTTTTTATGTACAGACACAGATGTGTCTGTACATATAGTCGTATCCTGCAAGTGTCATTGCTGCCGTCATTGCCGTGCACTTTCAGCGATAACATGATAAGTGGAAAACTGTTTTGCTTGTAGTCTTCAAACTTACAGAACTGATGAATTAAAGCATAGGTTGAGTTCGAAAATCAGCATGATTGGGCCATTTTTTTTAGAAGTTATGCTGTTTTTTCACTTTTTTCATATATGTAACACTGATAATACATTTCAAGGAAAACCAATAAGCCTATTGTCTTGAAACTCACAAAAATGATCAATCTTACAAATATACAAATCAAGTTAAAAATTAAGCCTTTTTGGGTATATGAGTGCTTTTTTCTCAAATTCAATTCTTAGGCATGTTAACAGCCTCATGATTGAACAAATTAGATACGTAAAAGTGTTTTGGACACTACCGCCATGATGAACATTAAGAAACAAAAACACGTTACTTATAATTCTCAAACTTACTGGACATGGGGCTAAAGTGCAGCTGAGTTGGAAAAGAAGTCTTATCGGCTTCCTTTTCTGGAAATTATACATTTTTGTGAATTTTTAATTTTTCACATGTTGGCATTTTCATTGGCACTCCGACAGGCATAAAGCTGGATGGAAATCAAATTTTCTAAAGGTCTATGTTTTTTATAGTAGACATTTGAAAATTGGTGGTAAATATACTGTTAATCATTATGTAATATTGCATCAAAATTGACAAAAACCTACTTTGTGCACTGCCACCACAAATATTATGCAAAGAAAACTGTCTCTGATTATTTTTTTAACTTACAAGAATGATTCTTAGGATTGACATACAGCTCAAATGAGAAAAACAGTTCTATTGGATTATAATTTTTTATTGAATTAATGCAATTTTTAGTGAAATTTTCACTTTTTCTCATTCTGGCATTTTCAGAGTATGAATTTGATATCTAATGGGCCTGTAGCCTTATCCTTTTACTTTCATTTGTATTACCTGTTGTGCATAATTAAATTTTGATGTTGACTTTGCAGTTAAGCATAATGTATTATTGCATCAGAATTGACAGTATCCTATTTTGTGAATTATTATTTTCTGCTTTTTGTCTGTACATTTGACAGCTTTGCTGCCTTTTTTTTTTGTAAATTTTAAGCCAACATATTATTATTTCAATATTGACAGCAGTCAGGAATACCTGAAAATAATTGTACTACACATTTTCTATTTAGTGGATGTTTTGTGAGTGACAAAAGTGCCTCAATGTTAGCATGACCTTGGTATAGCTTTGTCTTAATATTGGCTTCAGTTTTCTTTCAGTATATGCCCCACTGATAAGTTGATTTTACCATGCTGTCCATTTCAAATTTGTATAATGTGCTCAGCCTGAAAAATTATTTATCAATATGAACATAATCAAGGGACATGAATAGATCAGCTTAAACTTACACTGCATAGAAGTTATAATGCTTTTTGCAAAATGTAAGTTAGTAAACCCAAATCCTTTCTCTGCCAGAAGTAAAAAAAAAATGCCTGCATGCTACAAGGTGGGCCATAAAGCAGCAGGTAAAAATGGAAGGGGAAGATATTCCAAAATTGTTTTCATTCTTCTTTCAGTGACATTTTCAATAGCACCTCTGGACAGTAAGAATAAATTAGGTGTGTGTCACTGGTAGATAAATTTGCAGACAGTGATTCCCCTAGCATGCTTTGCAGATCATCTGCTTCAAAGTAACCTAAAACTGAAAGCTTTTCTAATATTACTTAGGACTCCAAGATGAACTATGAAAAAAAAATTCCATTTTGTATTCTTTATAAAGCTGGCATTTTACATTTTGGAGTCCTAAACATTATGTAGTATTTCAAAAGTAAATTCTATGTAGATAACACTAGCTGGTTTGTAAAAACATTTTTAATTTATTATTATCATTATTATTTATTATTATTATTTTTTTTGCATTCCTTATTAGCTGCAAAAGTAACCAATCATGTGCTTAGTGAGTATAGAAAAAAGTCTGTTTTGAATTTGCTTATGGCAATGAAATATGGCATATGCAGAGAGAAACTTCTTTTGTGTGCTGAAAAAAAAAAGAAATGTAGCAGACCTGTTTTATGTTTATGATGAACCCGAGCTTTTGTCTGTATTGAACTTGGGAGGGGAATGGCATTGCATTGATGTAATTGCCATTGGTGTGTTGCAGTGTTAGATGATAAATCAGGAGTAAAATGATAAACAGAAATGTTATGTATGAATTCTGTGGCTTATGAAAATAAGATAGTAAAAAGAAAAAAATACACAGACAGTGCATGTGAAAAGAAGGCACAATTGTTATTAGTGATTCTGCATGCATTCCAAATGAAAATAATGCCTGGTTACATGTGTGCTGCACTTTTGTTAAGTAACATTGTGAGCCATATGAAATAAAGCAAACCTTCAATTAGGGAGCAGTTTGAAAATGTGGGGCTTTTTCCCTTAGCTAGCTTCTTGGTATGTTTAATATTCAAAAGCCTTACTTCTTTTTTAGACATAAGGACCTGCTTCTTATTGCAATCCATATGTTCATTTGTGTGGCTATCTAAAGGAGTTTTGGAGTTTTAGTGGGCTATTGCAGTTAGTTCAGAGTGTCTTCATTTTCTGCTGGTTTTGAATGTATCATTTATTGTACCACCAATATAGAGCTGGAAGCAATGTTGACTTGGACAGAAAACCTTGCAACATCCACAGCTGGATACAAAACATTCTTATGTCTCTTCTAATTGATACAAAGTCCCGTGCATCAATATCATGGCAAACCAATATATATATTGGTTTATCATAATATTGATAAATATACATTTACCTGATTTGGGGGGTTAATCAATGCGTATTCATATATATGTTTTTAATCTTATTTATTTATCAATTTTTGGTAAACTTTTGGTGACTTTATATCCCACTGTAAGGTTAAGGAAAGTGGTTTTGAAAACAACATGGAAAGAAATTCAACTACTTGGTCATCTAAGTTTTTATTTTTAAATTGTTCATTACCTACATTACTTCAGAAAATACTACATATCAATTTTTGAAAATTCCTAATTCGTAATGTGTAGGTCAGGTTGCATTGTATTTCAAGAAAGCTGAAATATAGCAAAGAAAATATATGCACTGATATTATGATAAAGAGTTGCAGTTAGTGGCAGGTCCTTCTTTTGGACATACCTATATTTATTTATTCTTTTACTGAAAGCTTTGAATAACCAAAAACTCTTTGCATCTTGGTCACTATAGGGCTTTGGTTACTTTTTATAGAGCAAGCCATTTAAAAATGTGGTTTTAATTTCCTACTGGGAAGCATAAAATGGCTTTAAAATCTGAAGTAGGTTACAACATTTTACAGCTATTCTGTGCACAATTGACCTAAATTGGATACTTGGTAATGGCTTTCAAGCACTAATTCTCTGAAAGGCTTTCTTGAAAGTATTTTAAAGAATTTTAATAAAGTTTGATCAGCAGCGTTTTAATAATATTAATTTATTGGTTTGATAATTTTCTGGGGCTTATGTCTTTCTTCAGAAAAATGCCTCTCCCACAATCCTGTTTATATGTTTATGATACTGGCTGGTGGTATATGTGCAGGAGGCAGTCTGTGTCTCTCTGGACCGCTAATTAGGATTTTTATTTTCTGTACATTTAGATGATACATTGTACATTGCATCATATACTGATGCTTTTGTGGTGTTATTGCTGTATTTCATGATGTCTCTGGAATGTTTTGCATGTCAGTTCAGTTGACGAGTGCATGTTACCTTGAAACAAATAATTATGCAGGATCATAAGTATAGCACAAGTGATGGTGCTAAAAGCTTGAAGGCATAAAATATATCATGTCAGAGAAAAACAGAAAAAAAAGCCATATGGATAAGGGTGGTTTTAGTCTTATTGTATATATTGAAGTATGCTAGCATAGCGTAAGTCACACCAAGCATTGGAAAAATGTTTCATGTTCATGTAAAGAAGACTCTGCAGAAACCTACAGGTGCTGCCCCTGCTGTTAAAAATCCAGGTTGAATGGATGTACTTATTCCATATATTTAGTATATTGAATGTTTGATTCATATTAGTATGTCATAAATTGGTTCATGTTTGAGAAATATTGCCATTTGATAATTTTCAGGGCGAAAGCAAGAGATTATCAAACTGACAGAACAGTTGATAGCAGCCATTACTAGTGGAGATTATGATGGATACACGTAAGTTACAAATATTTGATAAAAAAAAACAGCACCTATACAATGTTCTAGACATTAAACTTTCTATGTGTCACTGATAAGAAAATTAAGTGAAAAAACAGAGTGCTCATTAATGACTAATTTCAAACATCTCATTTGACCAGTGTACTATTTTGCAAGTTTCTCAGATAAACATATTTTTGCTATCAATCCAACTTTCTTACCAAACATTTTGTCAAATGTAACTATAAGATTATTATGTTTTTAATCATGGTTTATTGGTTGTCTTAGAATTTAGTAATCACCATTTAATATATATATATATTCTTTGATTCCCAGGGTAAAAGTCATTATGTATAGTTTTGTTTTCATACACCATAAAAGTGACATTGCATTACCGTGCATTACAATATGATGAATAATATTTGCAACTGAAATGAGACCTATCTGGTACATTTGCAACTTCGCTTCTTGGCATTAGGTTTCAGATTGTCATAAAATAGTTTGCAGAATGTACCCTGTAGAATTCGTATAATTTCATAAAAATTCAGTTGTGTGAATGTTTTTCTTTTAATCTTTCCTGAGTCCTACAAGTGATTTTTCTCTTTTCTATAAACAAGCTAACTCTGTCTTTCCAGTAAATTTGTAGATCCTCAGTTGACTTGCTTCGAACCAGAAGCATTTGGTAATTTAATAGAAGGAATGGAATTTCACAAGTTCTACTTTGATAATGGTAAGTTTGAAAGTCAAGGTTAAATGAAAAACTTTTTTTTTTTGTAATCACACTATCATTTTGCTCTGTTCTGTTATCAACAGGTAACTGCATTTGATATGCATGTCTGCACATACAGTAAATAATTCTAATGTATTGTATCTGAACTGATTTTAGGTATTGAGAAAGAAATTGCAGGTAATTTTTGTGATGATGCTGTATAAGCTGAGTGTTTGAGATATTCATATTTAAGTGGATCATCAAAAGTTTCATAAAGGGACCATAATGGAGGATTTTCATTGTCCAAAATTGACTGTTTACTTTTAAGATGTCTGTACTTTTGTTCAAATGCGTGTATCATTCTTTTTAGTCTTTAAATCACTACCCCTGTGCATATTCACAATTTTATACAAAGATTAAAATGCATGTAAACATCCACTGGCATTAAATTAAGTGAAATAAAAAGAAGTATTATAAATGTTTATTCATGAAATTTTTTTGAGTTTGAAATGGTCAGAAGAATGACTGAAAAAAAAAAACATAATTGTTTAGTGACTGCTAGAAAAAACTTAAAGCCAGTATATGGTCCCTTTGGTATTGATATTTACTGAAAAACACTTTGTCTTCTTTATTGTAGAGATTTGTTGCCGTGCCAGAAATTATCTCTAGAATTAGACATTATTTTTTGTGTTTGAAAATATCTGACGTAGATGAATTTGAAATATTTTAATTTTTCTTTTCTTTGTCCTTTTTTTTTTCTTTGAATTTCTCTGTGGAAGAATTATAACTTCATCTGATATAGATGTGTGCATGTGTCTGATTGAACATCTACAAAATTGGTAAATTTTATAACTAATGCTGTGCATAGTCATACAGAGAATATTGAATTCATTTGCAGAACAGAGAATTGCACAGAAAGTTATTCTTCTATTCTGCTTACCACGAAAATGTGTTATTGATATCAAATTAAAAAATTCTATGATATCAACTTGAAAATTCTATGATATCAGTGTTTTAAATTTGAAGGTCATCAGATAGTGTGTTTGTGTGTTTTTATTAGATATTTTAAGAGTCACCTTGATGCATTGTTGGAAATATGTTACTTGTCATGTTAGATTTTTTTGCATAACATGTTACCCTATTATTTCAGTGTTAGCTAAGAATAGCAAAGCTGTGAATACCAGTATTTTGAACCCACATGTTCACCTGCTTGGAGAGGATGCTGCCTGCATAGCATATATTCGTCTTACTCAGTATATTGACAAGTAAGTATAGAATCATGTTTCTGCACATGATTGCAGTATATCCACTTCCTTGGTAGAATTATTTCTTTTGAATGGTTAGAAATAGGTAAATTTGATAGACTGAATTCTTTTTTCCTTAAATGAAAACCATGCACACTGTTAGTTTGTATAACCATCTTTATAAATTAATCTTAGCAGCTAGTGCTCGGCATATGATGTATTCATAGACATTAGTATAATGAGACTTGTAAAAACATGCATATAGGAACCTAAAATTTTGCAAGATGGCCAGGATAAATTTCTTTTTGAAATGTGTGGCTAATTTGAAATAGTGGCTAATGGGATCTTGATGCACTAGGTTCTTATATGTGGGTTTTTACTGGATTTAAGTTCTTAATTTTTTTGACTGTTTGATAAAATAGCTGATATACTTTGCACCACAAGCTTTGCAGTGACATTAACTAACCATTGATTTCAAACTTAACTACTGACAAAGATTTGCATGGAAGTTCTGTGTTCTGTATAAAACAAAGTAGACTTAGGGCTGTTACAGTAACCTTATCAGAATATTGAAAAAAATGTTGATTTAAGTGTGCAGCTTGAGTTCTGTGCACCTGTTGTAATTAAAGTCACTCTTGTGCAAATCTTGAAGCAATGTTTGAGCTTTATTATCAAAGGTAGGAGCTTTCTGAAAAATGATTGTGCTTTGGTTGTCAATAGGTCTGAATTTCTATAGGATACACCTTTTTGCTTGCTTTTTTGACTGATAGGTCTTCTAAAATTGCTGCCAAAACTTACCTATGAGTAAATAATTCTGGTTATAAAAATGAATGGAAGTATCTGATAAGAAAGATGAAGTGCAATCATATACAAGGAACTTACCTTATTAAAGTGTTCACACATATCCTTATTTATATTTGTGTTCAGTGTTACAGATATTGCATGTTACTTACCAACAGTTTTATTTGTCTTTCCAGTTGCCTTTATTTATATACTTTCTGTTGTTTGTAGGAACCCATGTCTTGCCCCCTATCCATGTTTGTGGCAGCTTCTATAATTACATGTACTAGTTGCACATTAACAAAATATTTGCCTTTTTTCTCTGTAGCGTACATCTTTGTATGGCAGATAGCTTGGTATATATAAACACCATTCTGTTGCAATTGGTCTTTGCAGTTGCATGGTTTATTTTATTGAAAAGTATACATATGTGGTCCCCTATAATTGGAATTCATATAAGTTGCCATTTTAACACCATCCTTACCTAATTCATACATGTTTTCTATTCTTAAATTCTCTCCTTTAAATTGTTGAAAAAAAAAATGGTATATTCACTGAAATGTTGTATCATGCACAATATGTCCTGTTTGCCAACTGGCATGTTTGGTTATTATATGTTGGATCATATTGGCTCATACAAAACAGATCCACAAGGAAATTTCTGTTCCATTTAGTACCAGTTTCTAATTTTTCCAAAAAAAAAAAAAAAAAGAAAGAAAGAAAAAGAAAGTAAATTTGGCTACCATTCCTTTTGAAAATGCAGAAAATATTTCCATGTAAAAAATAGTCAACCTTGTAAAATGAAAAATCTTACTTGAATTAAAATAAATACCAAATATGTTTAAAAAAAAAAAGACGTTTGCTCAAATTAGAGAGATTTTTGGAGTGTTTAATTTTAATATTTTTAATAAAACTGTCCATTGCTACATAGGCACATCTCAGAATTTCACATTTTCAAGGTCCTGCCATATTTGTTGTTGTAGGACTGGCCATGTACACTCAGATCAGAGTGAAGAGACCAGAATTTGGCTGTGCAAAGATGGCAAGTGGCAGAATGTGCACTTTCACCGCTCGCAGAACTACCTTCTCAATTGTGGAAAATAGCTGTGTGGGGCAAGGAATTCAGATGCTGCTATCTGCCTCTTTTATCTCTCATGTCCCACAACATTTTGTCTTGATTGCTGCCACATTTGGTCGCAACCGTTTGCTCAGCTGATGTTTCTAAAGGAGATGGCTTTGGGATGCTTGTTTGTCCATTTTAAATGGAGTCCAAGTTCTCTTTTATATATAATCTTGCATAAATTGTCAGCTTGTTTGTATTAATAAGGAGATCTTCAGGGTGCAGAGGAAGCTGTGGTGCTGCTTTTTGTGTGTGTGGAAGAACCAGAAGAGGGCCTCTTTTGCAGCCCTTTTAACTGTCCCTGCTATTTGTAGCAGCATTTTTCATCTGTGATGATGATAATTGATTGATTAATTGATTGATTCCTTGATTGACTTGTGCAGGAATGGATTGCCAAAAACAATGCAGTCTGAAGAGACTAGGGTTTGGCAGCGAAGGGATGACAGCAAGTGGCAGAATGTGCATTTTCATCGCTCTGGAGCACCATCAGCACCAGCTAAGTAAAGACTTGCACATGGACGCAGAACTACACACAAGAATCTTGTCCCATTAGCCAGGAGCCAGACAGTCTGACTGGAGTGAAAATCTAAAAAATAAACAGAAGTTGCAGTGGTGGTGTATTTTCTCTCTGTAGTTGATGTCAGACTTAACTCAAACTGGATGAAATTTTTTATCCTCTTAAGAGGGCAAAGGGTTGTTTTCAGCATTATATTTCAACTTTTCATGCAAGCAACCTGATTCACTGAGTTTTCAAAGTCAGTATAATTACTGCTGTAGCATAGTTTGAAGATTCATTTCTTTAATTTTTTGCTAGGTCCGTGCTCTGTTGTTTTTTTTTTTTTATGTTTATGCTGCTACCTCAGTGCTTGATCAATTTCCCCTTTTCTTAATGTGATACTTTGTAAACAGCACCCCTATTTGTAGGGCAAGTGAACACTATCAAGGTAGTTATGCCATTTGTAATTCAGCACATGGATGCAGAGGTATGAAAATATGGTTAAAAGTTTTTTTCTGTAGTGGTTTCAAAGGAATGTTTTAGGCTACTTGTCACTTACCATGTTTGACTCATTAAGTGCAATAAAATTGGGCAATTGCAAATGATGACATTATTATGCCTTTTTAATTCATTTAGAAACTTTGCACAGGATATGAATCTAGGACTTTAAAGCCAAAATTTTGTTCTAGTGATATTTTCCCCATATGTTCTTTGAGCTCACAGGTAAAAATTTGTATAGCTTTACATTTATATTTTTCTCTTTATTTACCATAGATGAAGTTTGTGCACATAAGAATTTTTGTTTAATGTTATAGCAATGCCTGAATCCATTAGAAGGTGGTAAATTTGCTAACAACTTTAAAGGAAAGGGAGGGGCTAGCACTACAAATTAATTTAATTAGGTAACTGGGGCTAGCTTGTGAGTAATCAGTTATTGTATCCATTAACTACTCTGAAGTGTTGATTACGCAAACAATTCCCAGGTGATAAAGGTTGTTGAAAAAAAAATACAACACATTACATTGCACCTTGGATTATAATGGTGTTGCAAATGTTACTCACATCGCTTGTAATTGGTACCAAAAACCAGAGAAGTAATTGGAATGGATTTATTGCGCCTTCTGGTGTATTCTTAAATGGTAGGTTTGTTTCTTGTTTTGAATATTGTTTTATTAAATGTCTTAGACCTACAGATGTTTTTATTGCTTGTTGGTGTGATTGTTATCAAATAATGAAACCGTTTGAAATGAAGCTTCAAGGGAGTATAGACATTTGTTTGAAGGGTTATTTTGTAATTACTTGGATATAATATGATGCTATGTTTATGTGCATTTTTATTACTAAAGACTAAACCATGTAAATAATGTTTCTTTAATTAGCATGGAGTATGGAGATGTAGCAAGATATTTGTCAAAAAGAAAAAAAAAAACCTAATGCTGACATAGCTGTATCACAGGATAAGAGAAAGAGAACAAACATGTATGTATATAAGCTGATCTGACGTGTGTTTTTCTTGATTTTACAAAAATTGAATAATTAATACATTCATCTTAAGCTCTAGGAATAACTTAAATTAACTCTGCATTGTGAAAATCTGTTTTGTGCATGGCCAAACCTACCAAGCCATTTAATTTAATCAGAACTATTTGGACTTTTCTGAAGTGCTTATTTCTTACTGTTACTTTGAACTTTGAGGATCATTCTAATTTTTCCTAGAGGTATGCTTGGATGCCTTGATAGGATAATTTTATCTTGGTTACCAGACCGCAGATGGATCCCTCACTTAAACCAAGTGTAATAAGGTATTGGTGCATTGAAATGATGTTATTTAGAACAAATTAAGCAGAATGGAATTCCCTTTTTTATCATTATTATATGCAAATGTATTGTAGTAGACTTATTAATGTATACTGAATATTATGGTATTTCTTCAAGTGTTTTCTCCATTATATCATAGTTTCTAATGGCTGTGGATTTGCTTTTTTGAAAATGCCGCCTTGATTTCATGATTTCAACAGGCAGATAATGTTATTTTACTGACTTAGATATGTGGTTATGTGTGAGTAAATTGACTGGTGGTTACTGGTGAAATTTTCAACATGTTAACAATTACATTTAGAAGTGGCTTGTAATTTTCATTTCAGTAAATTCTCAAGTAGTCTTTGGCATTATTATATGCGACAAATGAAGTACAAGGTTATGGTAGCATTTTCTTGTACTATTTATAATGTCACTTTTTTGATGCAATGGTCAGTCATTTTGTCATTTTAGTGCCATAAATCTTGTCTCCAGTAAGTTGAAGTTCATAGATTCAAATTTATTTCAAAACTTTAAAAGATATTATTGTTTATGGAAGTTGTGCAAAAAGCAAGGTATTTCTGCCTGCATTTAAGTGCATATAATATTTTTACGCAGATAGTTCATTCAGATAATGTGAAATCAAGAATCAATATTAAATTTTTTAAATGGTATTGAAAATCATGAATTAGTGGTGTTGGTTTTGTGTGTTGTGATCTTGGTCTTTAAAAATTTGAAGCAAGCTGCAGGAGTTAATTAACTGGGTTTGAATAGACACTGTGGGGAGAGTAAAACCATACAGTTTGCCTGTCTACCATTCATACATGGTTGATAAATTGACAAATCCCTTGCTTGAAAATTACTGCTAGTCATTTACTGTTAGATCATGAGATTGATTAATTTTGATTCAATTTTCAGAATAATCATTTGAATTCTAAAGTTGTACTATTGTATTAAGTAAGTGATTTGTGAGCTACTGGTGATCGGTAGCGTTGTTAGTATTCGTAATCTAAGTTCAATCCTTTTATTCATGTCTCTGTTGTAATTGAATGCCATTATCTTTAAAAAATCACCCTTGTGCTGATTTTTTTTCTTGACCATTTTAATACTTCAGGTAATAAAATACTGTGTACTAGAGCCCAAAGAACTGGTTTTGTTTTACCTGTTGTTTTCAAATCACCTAACTTAAAATATATTAAAGACTAATGTTTTTTTTTCTTCATTAATTTGCTAGAATCGTTTATGTGTGGGGGTGGGAGTGAGAAAGCGGGGAAAGGGGTCCCTTGCTTCTCACTTTGTTGTTTGAAATATAAATTTTAATTTCATTGAAATTTTTCAAAAACGATCCTAATGCCCAGAAACCAGTGTCCTTAAAAACGATTCTGGCAACCAAAAATTAGTGTCGTTCTTCAAAAACGTTCTTAACAGCCAGAATCGTTTTTGTCGACGGAAACTGGAGTGGACGGATGTTGAGGCGACTGGTGATTAGCGTCTACCGCGACCAGGTAACCTTCACCGCAGAAGGTGTGCCGTATATTACGGTCTCTCCTCGCCGTGTGCTGAGACCGAGAAGACCGCCGATCGACGTCTACGGCGCACTGGAAGCCTTCACAGTGGAAGCTGTGCTGAATATTACGGCCTTTCTCCGATGTGCGCTGACGACCACCGATAGTTGTCTACGCTAAAATATCTTGTAATAACTATTTGTTTTTTACACAACATGTTGTTGATTTTCTTATGAAATTCGCTCAGTTAGTTATATGCAATTAACGGTTACTAAAAGTGATTTAATGAAACAACTTGCCGAACGTTTTCTTTCAGAATTTTCAAAACAAGAGAAACTTGATATAATACAAATAAGACTTTTTCTTTAAATTATTTTGCTCAGTTTAAATATGTGTGTTTTATTCGTGCATAGACAGTTAAAATGTTAATTCTGTAGAGTAAACGTATGGAAAATTCATTAAACGTGTTAAACGTTTTCCTTTAAAAGTGTCCATGTATGTTTCAAGACGTAGAAACAAAAAAAGAAAGAAGAAAATATCAATAACCTTACGGTTACGCTTTACCGTCAGATTGAATGAGGGGGTCAGGACCGCCCTGACCCCCTCTCTAAACCTGCCCTTGAGTCACGCAATCTCAAGTATGTTGACTTTGAAAATGCGTTTTTATTTTTATTTATTTATTTTTGTTGTGTGTGTATGTGTGTGTCATTATGGCTTTATCAGCCCCTAATCATCATTTAAGAGAAGGAGAATTTTTGTGCCTTCTCATAAACCAGACTGTAATGCAAGTCGAAGCGTCCGCACGGAAAGTGGGTGACCTCTTCAACATTATGTAAATCAGGTGAGCGTTTTGGTGAGAGGTGCTCAGCCAGGACCAAGGTCAGTAGAAGATGGAGAAGAAGGACGTCCCATGCCATATTACTTCTACTGCCACATGTAGGCCGAAAAGATAGCACTGAACCCGGCAGTAGTATCTCGTAAGTTCCGTACAGATGATAGAAAATGTATTGTAGCATTTGTTACCTTTACATTGACGATATTTTCCCGAAATGGTGCACTCTAGGCATAATGGCCATGGGGACATTTTACTGACATAAGGGTTACTTTCTCTTAGCCTTCCCTCGGTGTCCTTTGGGCACCGTTTTGTTTCTGATACCATTAGCTTTCCATGAGGGTTCAATATAAATACATAGGCCTATATTTGTATAGGCCTCATTTTAAAGCTTAATTGCGATTTGTTAATTATAACGCAAAGGATACTGACACGAATTTCTGTAATGGGCATGTACTGCTTTATCAAATCTTTAGACATTGTTTGATGAATGTGAATTTATTCCTTTAATTCCAGTGACTCTTAAGTACCGTTTACGAAGATACCAGAAGCGTCCTACTCAGAGACACTTTCGTGTTCGACATATACAGCCCCATGCCAAGATTGCCTCCTATGTCGACGTTTGTCTGCTAATTAATTTGCAGGGGCGACATTTAGTGGGAATGTTATGTTTGTTTTTGGTTGAAAAATTCTGCTCCAAAACGTATATCAAATTAAAAGTCGAATAAAATGAGCTTTTCATTTATGAAACTTCTCATAGAAATTTAAAAACCCATACTAAGCGTCCACCCTGCATGTTGTTGGTTTGCTTCTTTGGTAATTATATGTTACTATGTCATAGTCGAGTGCTGATCATGGTGTTAAGAGGGCAATTTATGTATACCTTTGGGTGGGGTTGATACCCGCCCCTTTATGAACCTGAAACGTTAGACTTGAAGTTCGCATTTAACAGAATGTCTTTATAAAAATGATAAAGTGATTGTTTTAACATTATCATACATTAATTTCCAAGGAGGGAAATGTTTTCTATTTGTCACTGAAAACATGTGTGGGCAAATCTGCAACTTGATACCTCGCTGTCAACTTCAAGATGTTCTCTTATTCATTTTATATGATGTTGACTTCTAGGAAGGAAAGACATTGTAACTGCATTACGTAAAATGCATCTAGGAAACTTTAAATAACATTTATCGTGTGTTCAGTTGAAAAAGAAGAAGAGATGTAAATCTACAAAAGACACTGAATAAAACGTATAACGCCTTAAAAATCCTAACATAATGTAACGGGCAAAATGTGCCCATGTAACTGCAGAATTGTCCACATGTACTATAACGAACTTTAACAATTGTGAACAGCGGCGGATTTAGGATTTCTGAAAAAAATTTCTGAAAAAAAAAAACGCACCAATGGCCCCATCTTAAAATAAGAATTTTGACTAGCTGAATCATAGTTCTAAACGGTACCAAATGTCACCATTCGCCTTCTAAAATACCAATTTTTTTCGGGGCCTTTACTTGGGGGGGGGGGGGGGGGGGGGTCTGCCACGCATCTGCGGACCCCCCGCCCTTCCCTTTCAAATAATCCTGGATCCGCCCCTGTATGAATATGGCACGGTGGCTGTGAATAAACTTTCTCTGGGTCTCGGTGTTTTCAGTGCTGGGCGGGGATTAAATATCTGTTTTCTGAAACATGGAGTGGGGTAAAGATTGCCATCCGAAATAATTAATTTAATTTGATCTAATATTGCAGTAGTAGAATGGAGATCTATGATGTGTATATGATTCGTCTGTTCTTATAGTTGGCTACAAAAATTTCCCAGGTTTGGAATCATTTATATGCCGTTTAGGAGTTATATTACAAAATGGAAGTGTCGAAAAACAAAAACAGGAAATCAATTTCACTTAGATATCGGTTGTCCATTGAATTGTTTCTGTAGGACTGACACTTATCATAGCTTTTTGCATTCCAAATTTTCAAAATCACTTGCAATGTACTTCAAAAATTATTCGCAAAGCCTAATTTTTGGGAGGTAATGAGTATTCTTAAAATTTGTTATAAATGGCAAATTCGATATTCTTCCAAAGTGTATGTAAACCTTAATACTTCGTTTGGTTTGAATTTTTAAAGTGAAAAAAAATGTGCCTAAAATATGCAGAAGAGCGTTCTAATTAAAGTTGTTCTGTATTCTTATACATTTTAATTTATTTCTAGATCAAGGGGGGGGGGGGGTTGAGAAAGACTGGTTATATATCGGTCCTGCATGTCCATGTTGTGTTATTTGTGCTTAGTGTCATCACTGAACACCGAGAACCAGAGTTAATTCTAATTGAATGTGAAAAGTCGCTTCAAGTACACTGATTTTTGCGTAACCTTTTCAGTTTTGTTAGTATACAATTCTGATTGGCTAAGACTTGGATAATCTTGTACACCATCTATATCTTTATGTCGCTCACGATTCCCATGATTTGCAAATGTAAATTTTCACCCACAATTACGTCACGTATGATATTTATTTTAGGATTTAGAAAACAAATAGAAAACAAAATTTGAAAAAATATCGACTGGCAAAGCAAGCAGAAATTTTACAAACATAAAGAAATTTTGGCTACAGTTCGATTTGGTGTGCGAACATCAACAAGACGACATAGGACAAGGTGTGCTTACATGAGTGTGTGCGTTAGTGCACGAATGGCGCTTACAGCAGATTATTTGCATTTTAAAAATTGTTATAATCTCTGAATTTGAACGGAAATGTTTTGATGGAATTTGAGGAAGACAAGGCACTAATGTGAACTTTGACAAAAAAAATGTCAAGTACAATTTGTTTAAAAAATCAATTTTCTCTGTTATCAGTTCTTGCCAAAGTCTTTCAAATGTTACAATCTTGAACTTTTTTTTTTTTTTTTTTTTTTTGTNCAGATCACCTAACTTAAAGTATATTAAAGACTAATGTTTTTTTTGTTTTTTTTCTTCATTAATTTGCTAGAATCGTTTATGTGTGGGGGTGGGAGTGAGGGGGGGTGAGAGAGCGGGGAAGGGGGTCCCTTGCTTCTCACTTTGTTGTTTGAAATATAAATTTTAATTTCATTGAAATTTTTCAAAAACGATCCTGATGCCCAGAAACCAGTGTCCTTAAAAACGATTCTGGCAACCAGAAATTAGTGTCGTTCTTCAAAAACGTGCTTAGCAGCCAGAATCGTTTTTGTCGAGGGAAACTGGAGTGGACGGATGGAGAGGCGACTGGTGATTAGCGTCTACCGCGACCAGGTAACCTTCACCGCAGAAGGTGTGCCGTATATTACGGTCTCTCCTCGCCGTGTGCTGAGACCGAGAAGACCGCCGATCGACGTCTACGGCACACAGGAAGCCTCCATAGTGGAAGCTTTGCTGAATATTACGGTCTCTCTCCGATTTGCGCTGACGATCACCGATAGTTGTCTACGCTAAAATACCTTGTAATAACTATTTTTTTACATAATATGTTGTAGATTTTATTATGAAGTTCGCTCAGTTAGTTATATGCAATTAACGGTTACTAAAAGTGATTTAATGAAACAACTTGCCGAACGTTTTCTTTCAGAATTTTCAAAACAAGAGAAACTTGATATAATACAAATATAGACTTATTTTTTAAATTATTTTGCTCAGTTTTAATATGTGTGTTTTATTCGTGCTTAGACAGTTAAAATGTTAATTCTGTAGAGTAAACGTATGGAAAATCCAATAAACGTGTTAAACTTAAACGTTTTCCTTTAAAAGTGCCATTGAGTCACGCAGTCTCAAGTATGTTGACTTTGAAAATGCGTTTTT